TATTAATTAAAAGTTTCTTAATACCATCCTACTTTACTGAATCAAGACTTTAGTGATTTATATTTCAGTTCACACGTGACGGGAACATGATGTGATGAAAAAAAAAAAAAACACGGGGCATGGAGCCAGGAGGCTGAAGTTTTAGTCCTAGAAGCTGGTGACTGAGCATGTCATCAAATGTCATCAAATGCATGGACCCTTGTGTCCTCACTCATAAAATGCAGGTTCTTGACAACGTGATCAGTGAGGGCTCCATCAGTTCTGAAGTCATGCTGCAGCTTTTGTACGTCTCCATGGATACATGTGGGGATTGAACAGCTGCTGTGGCAGAAGGAACACGTCCCCTGCAGGTTGGTGAGGGGACTGGACGAGCAGGCAGCACAGGCAGACAGGGCCTGGCCCATGTAGGTGCCTCCTGGTATCTTCCCAGCATTTCATTAACCGAGTCTTGCTTGATTCCCGCAGTTCTTCAGTCGTCCCTTTTCCCATTTGTAAAATGAAGAGCTTGGATGAAATGGATGATACTCAACATGTCGCTACCAGACTCTGTTTTGATTTTTGAATTCGTATATTGAAAGGTTCTAGATATATCCAAAAATTGCATTTATTGAACAATAATTACAGTACTTTCCCACTTTAACATAATGACTGACTGGCATGCCTATGTAAATCTTTTACTCTGCCATATGTCAGGTGGGTTCCGTATAACATCTTGAATACCTCTACCATCCCCGAAAAGTGCAGCTGTTATCTTTACTTTCTATTAATATATGAGAAAACCAAGACCCAGAGGGTGTCGGGAGAGTTAGGATTTGAAACTCGAGATTTTCCACTCTTACCTTTCACTTCCGATTCACTCCTTGGCGTTTCTAACTCATCTTCTGCCTTCCTGCCTCCAAGCTTTCCCTTCTGCTAATCAGCTTACCTGCCCTGTCCTACTGTGCTTCCCCACCTGTTAAAATCCTTATTCTGCAAAGCTCCCCTATCTGTACTTAGCCCAGTGCCTTGCCCACAGTAGGTGCTCATTAACTAATGAATGCCTTGATGTTTACTCTATCGCTGCTAAAACATCTCAAGGTCGTAGGAGGCAGAAATGATATCTTATCCCCACAGTGTCTTTACAGTGTAGACGGTTACCAAAGTAAATGAAGCCCGCATGCTTCCTGGAACAAAAAGTACACAGGGCCATGTATGTCATGGGGTGTCCAAGACCCCATGTCAGAAATGTGCATTTGGGCGGCAGGAACACACATGAGGCAGGAGAATAGGAAAGCGCATTGGGAAGTTTTGCTACTTGGGTCAACTCCAATTTGGCAAAAACAGCTCAGCTGTTTTTCCTCCAGGGTTCTTTCTCTCAGCGTCACTTATTAATGCTAATTAGTCAAGGGTGTGCTGTGATGCAGAACACTTGTGACCCATAAGAATGAGAGAGAGAGAAACTGTCATTTCTCAAAAGACCCATGAGGGGCAGCAAGAGTAAGCGATGAGGAGGGAGAGAGAGACGGAGGGAAAGAGGGACTTCTCTCTCAAGAATTGCACTGAAGAAAAGTGCAAGTAAAAATAAATCCACATATAAAGCAACTGTGCAAATGTTAACAGTATTTTCACAGCTGGGTTTCTTTGCCGAAAATACTTAGCACTTACTTTAGAAAAGCCTCTTCTAAGCAGGAATGGCCTGACCGATTACAGAGGCTGAACCCTGGTGGTAGAACTCTGACTTTGAACTTCACTTTTGCCCAGAGGGGAATAAAAACAATGACTTTTGGCAAACAAGAACATTCATCGTCATGAATTCCCATCAGGCTGTGCTGTGGTGAGTGGAGTGTCCTTTATGTCACAGATCAGGACACTGAAGTAAGGCTGAGTTTAGGGAACTGGATTCATAACATTCAGCATATTTATATCTAGATTAGGGCTCTGGATTTAGAACACTGGAAAACACCAACTTTGTCTGTTTCCATGGCAGTGCAAACACCCCCACTTGAATAGCTGCCCAGTCACTTATCTTAGCAGGATTAATGGTTTTCTAAAAGGATCTACACTCACATTCCTGGTATGTAGTTCCTGTAGATATTAAGAAGGTACGCCATGGTCTTTGGTTTCAAAGACTCATGCCATAAGACGTGACTACTCATTCTGACTCACTTTTAGGGACTCTCCCTTTGGGAGTGCCACCCAGGTGGCATGGAAATGGGCTACGCACATATGAATGGAAATACAGGCTTCATCTCCAAATGACTAGGAGAGACGCTATACTGATGAACATGCTAGCTAAATAAAAAATCATACTGTACAGGTTTGCAATGATTAACTTGTGTTGGTGTCATCTTTCATTCATTTACTGAATAAATATTTCATGAGTGATGGGACCGCTATGTGTCAGAGTCCTCGTTATTAGAAGATACAATTAGAATTACATGTTTCAAGAGGTTTGCAATCCAGCACACACCATCGCTAACAACTAATGGGATTTTTTTCACTTAATATTTTTTTTGGTCAAAGCAAGAGATTCTTCAAAATTACAACAAACAAACAAACAAACAAATAAACAAAGTAAGAAACCAGTAAACACAAACAGTTAAAACATTCTTTGTGCTTATAGCCTTTGGTGATCACCACCTTGAGTTTTCGTGGCATAATTCATTGCCATCTCTTCACTATTGTGTCTCATTCCTCTGCTGGGTTGTGTGAGCCCTGAGTGTCATGGCCTCTGCCTGGCTCACCTTTGTACCTCGAGTGCCTGATACACCCCCAACAACTGCTCGCCCTACAGGGAGTGTTGGCTGGAGGAGCCTGTCACCAGTTAAGCAAAGGCGAGGTTGACAACAAACTCTGAACACAAAAGTGAAAAGCGAATGTGTTGGCTTTTAGTGAAGTTTTTATTTTTTTAACGATCATATGCTGACATTGACTTTCTGTCTTTGGCGTACAGCTCTATGAATTTTTTTTTTAATTGGGGAATTGGGGGCATGGGAACAGTGCTGGGGAATTGGGGGAAGGGGAACAGACAAGTTGCTGTCGTTTTTGTTCTTCAGTCTAGTTGTGGAGGACGTTGCTTCACTGGTCCAAGTTGGCACCATCATTGCGGTCTTCCCAGGCGAGGCAGATCAGTCGCCAGCTTCTGGACAGCCGCTCATGCTGGCTGCTGGCTACACACGGTAGCCCATGGCAACGCACTGCCACAAGGACTGCAGCCTATGCTGTCGCCGGCAACTCACAGCAGCCCAGCTCCAGGTTGAGCTGTTGTTCAGCATCTTAGCTGTAGAGGGCAGTGTCACTGGCCCTCATATGTGGGATCTGAACCGGGGCCCTCTGGCGTCCTAAGCCAGTTCTTAACCATCGTGCCACTCGGCTGGCCCTCTATGAATTTTAACGTATTTGTAGATCTGTACAGCCACCACCACAATAAGGATACAGAAGGTTCTATCACCCCCCCGGAAACCTCCCTCATTGTCATAACTTCCTTTCACCCATAATCCCTGGCTACCACAGATCTATTTTCCATCTCTACACTTTTATCTTCTGAGACTGGTTTCTTTCACTCAGCACAACGTTTGAGATTCATCCAAGTTCATGTATGTATCAATAGTCTGTTCTTTTCATTGTGGAGTAGTGATGTATCATATGGTGTACCACACTTAGCTTACCCTTTCACCCACTCAAGGACATTTGAACTGTTTCCAGTTTGGGGTTCCAACAAGTAAGGCTGCTTATGAACATTTGTATACCAATTTTCATGTGGACATAAGTTTTCACCATCTAGTAGCGTAAATAAACAGCAGTAGAATTGCTGGGTCATATGGTAAGTGCATATTGAGCTTTCCAAGAAGCTGCCAAACCATTTCCCAAAGTGGCTGTACCATTTTCAATCCCACCAGACATGTACGAGGTGTGATCACAAGACATGGTGAGTGTTTAAATTAAAAAAATAGTTATTACAGTAAAAGTTACATTGCCATTAATCCCCCTCAAAATACTCCCCTTTGCTTCGAATACATTTATCTCATCATTATTGCCATTTTCTGAAGCAGTTCTGGAAGTCCTCTTTGATATGTGTCTTTTCGGCATCCTCCATCATGCCAACGCTGTGTCACATATTGCTTCTGGTATACGGCAATTTCTGTCAAATACAAACATTACAGTGTGTCCTCATCCACCTTATTCACCGGATCTGTACCATGCAACTTCGGGCTCTTTCCCAAAGTCAAAATGACTATGAAAGGGGAACATTTTGAATCAATTCAGGACATCAAGGTAGCCACAACAGCACAACTAAAGACACTCATGAAAGAGGACTTCCAGAATTGCTTCAGAAAGTGGCAAGAGTGATGAGATAAGTGTGTTCGATGTGAGGGGGAGGATTTTGAGGGGGATTAATGACAATGTGTCTTTTACTATTATACTATTATATATATATATATTTATATATATATATTTTAATTTAAACATTCACCATATTTTTATCACACCTCGTATATAAGTTTAAATTACTCCACATCTTTGCCAGCACTTGGTATTGTTTTATTTTTTTTTCATTTTAGATATTCTAATATGTGTGTAGTAATATCTTGCTGTGGTTTAAATTTGTATTATCCTAATGGCTTATAGTGTTGAACTTCTTTTTATGTGTTGATTTGCTATTTTTATATCTTTCATTTCTGTTCAAGTTCTATCCCCATTTTTAATTGAGTTGTTTGATTCCTTATTATTGAGTTTAAAGAGTTATTTATATATTCTGGATACAAGCCCTCTGTTGGATATGTGATTTGAACACATTTTCTCCTCAGCTGTGGCTTGTCCTTTTTATTGTCTTAACTTCAGACCAAAGTTTTTAATTTTAAGAAAGACCAATTTTTCTTTTATGGATGGTGCATTTGGTGTCATTTCTATCACTTTGCCTAACCCCAAATCATGAAAAATTTCTCCTATGCTTATTTCTAAAAATGTTATGGTTTTATGATGAATACATTGACTATTGACGAACAAAGGAAATAACTTACTTGATGATACATTTCCTTCTTAGTGTTAAGTTTGCTCGTCTGGATTCCAGGAAGTTATAGGAGTCTTCGGGACAGGAGTGCATGTCTGTAAATGGCTCTTTCATTGCAAACAGGAACCACAGTCTGTTACCTATAATTTAAAATAAAAATAAAAAAAGTCTGATAAACAAGTGTTTTCATGTATGTCAAATTCATTGGTGATCACACCTGATCTGAAACAATATGAGACTATTTTCAGTCTTTTTAAAAAATTCCCTTTTAAAGTGACTATTATACATTCCATTACAGAACTACTCATATGTTAATTAGGGGGTCCTACTCCAGTCCAGGATTGGGGCACTCAATGATATTCAATATATGGACTGTACCACATATCCATCATCTGAAAAATTATGAATTCTAAAACATCTTTGTCCACTAGGGTTTCTGAAAAAAGATTGTATATCTGAAATTTAAATGGGTCTTGTGTTATGATAGCACAGGGAACCTCTTCTTCAGGCATTTCCTAGTCCTTGTCAAAAGCTCTCACTTATGTGATTGAGGATGGGAGGAAAAGACATTATATTATATATACTGCTCTATTCAACCTAAATAAATGTGTTTTCTTGTAACAAAGGAAGATTTATGATACCTTTCCTCCATTGTTCTTTGTGACAGTAAATAAAAATACCGAGCAGTGAGCCCCTGAATATCAGAGAAGGCCTTTGTTTTCACATGACAGTATGTCCCTGTGCACCAATGTGTTAGAAGCAAGGTGGCCGACCTGGGTCAGGCTCACACATGGACACCTCAGCCTTCCACAGACTGGGCTGCTGTGTGTCCATCAAGGCCTGACTGAAACACTGCCAGGGGGGATGGGACATGTGACATGACTTGAGACAGTGCCTGGAATAGAGTAATGTACTAATAAAAGTTAGATGAAGGCCATCTGACCGCAATATCTTGTCATTTCAGCTGCAGCAGTGCCTGTATATTGTATATAAGGAAGTCAGCCCATAAGATTGAGGATGTCATCTTCTGGGGTAGTTTGAGGGGAGATCCAGGAACCTCAGCTCTGCAGTGTATCATTTTACTAGACACTGATCCAACTGGAAGACACACTGTGTCCTGATGCGTGTCTTTCCTCCTCACTGACAGCTACACACATGGCAACGAGGACCTATGATTCGATTTCTTTGTCTGTCTGACACCAAGTACGGCCTGAGACACTTCGGGGAACTACTCTCTATTGGCGTTCAGAAGCTTATCTCCAGGCTTAAAAACCGAAGAGAACAAAACTAGGAACAAGGAGCAAAAAGAAAGAGGGATTTTGCTTTACATTTTTCTTTTCCAGTTAGTAATTTTTCCTTTTTTTTTTTTTTTGTCTTGCAGAGTTCAGTTTGGAGAAAAGGGTTGGTTCAGGGGCAAGGCCATATTTAGAAGCTCACAATGCTTGTTTTTGTGGTGCCAAAGGAATCGACACTTCTTTTTTTCTTCACGAAAGAAAACAGAAGCTCATTATCCTGGCAGAGGAAGTCCAGAAGTTTCGAGGTGGAGATTAAACCTTACTCCCAAACACTAAGACTCCTGTTCAGCTTCTTGGTGTGGAGTACATGTTAGTAGCTTTTAAAAATGGTTAGCACGCTGCACTGGTCGGCTTTCTAAATAATTTAGAGAACTCGTGACCCGGAGCTTTCATGGAGTTGATGTAACTGTTCTGGAAATCGTTTGACTTGAACTTGAGACTCACTTTCGTACAGCTGCAGTATGTCCACCGTCAACAGCAGTCTGTACCCAGAAAGCAGGAGGGGAAAGAGTTGGGGGAGAGACATCCTTAAAAGAATTCTTTCCTGGGCTGCAGTTCCACACATTGACCACCAGGTGTCTGTCTTCACACAAGCAGTCGTGTGTAATGGTGTATACTTCTTGACTGCCCGATTATTTTTAAAGCCAAAGCCATTTTCTAGGTGTCCGTACAAATGAATATAAATGTGCACATGAAATAATTTTCAAGCTAAATAATTTTCAATTCCCCATCTAAGTAAGAGCAATCAGTGAAGCCTTGTGTTTATCTTCTAATGTTGTTTGGGAAAACTATTTGGGGCAGTAAGTAGCCAATGGATTCGGGAAATGGTGAAAAATAATAATAATCATTTATTCGCTTCCCAAATCTCATCATCTGGTATTTGTAAAACTCAAGGTTCTTAGCATGTGAACAAGTTTACGTTCCCAGGAAATTCTTTCTGGTAAAAATAGGCAAATAACATCCTGAGCTGGCTTCTGTGCTCTATAGTTAAATTTGATGGTTCAATTTCTACTTCAGTTTGTTCCCCAGTTTCCATCCTTGGCCCTGACTTAGTTGAAAACAAGTCTCTACCAGGAAGTGCAAGAATGAAATTTGATTTCTTTCTTCCCAGAATTGAGAGTGACATTGTAATAGTTGCCTAACCAGATAATTCTAGTAAGGTCCAGCAGATACAACGAGGCAACTGAGTCCATCTTGGGAAGAAGTACGGTTCTCATGGTCTGCAAAGAAACGTCACCAGATCAAGCAGTTTCATAGATATCTTTTATATCTCCCCATTCCTTTTATTTATTGATTTACTTTTTTTTTTAAAGTTACCCAAAAGATAGTTGCCACCAGTTTAGGAATCTCCTCTTTTTACCCTAGCTTGTCAAAACATGGATGTTTCTGAGAGCCCTGGATATCCTTATTTGTGCTTTCATTAAGTTTTACACAGACATGGCTGAAAAAAACCAACTAGTACAGAAGATGTACTCAATGAGAAAGAACTATACCATCCCGTACAACCATTTTCGTAAGATGTTGGGAGGAAGAGGAGATACACATATTGTATATCACGGCGCCATGTTCAACCTGAGGACTTCCCTTTTTTGTTATTGTTCATTTTTGTTTGGTTTTGTTTATTATTTTTGATACCTTTAAGACATTAGTATCCGTTTCTCCAGCAACTATGGACGTGAAGCTATTTGTAGCAGGGGCAAAACACACCCTCAGGGTTGTATTCTCACCAGCGTTGCTGGTCTGCCATTCCTCACCCTTCAGGTATTGATGAAAGCTCTGTGCCCTCCCGTATTGTGTGTTTCTCAACACCATTTATGGCGTCATTTGTTCATTCATTTGATCAATGTTTAGTACTTGCTGTAAACTTCATGCTGTGAATACAATAAAAATGACTACGAACAAATCCGTTCTCTCAAAAAACTATGAAGCCAGTGAGTAGAATTCTATAACCTATTTCTTAAATCCACTTCTGGATCATATTGAATAAAATGGAAACATTTAATGCTGCTGGTATTTGTGGTATAGAACAATTTTCTGGTTTTGGGTTATGTAACATTTTAATATACAGTTGTGTTTAGACAGCATTGTTATTCAAATACGTGAAATATGGAGTCCTATTATTATAGTGGCAGTGGAACACCATTGTTCACATGTTTATACACAATTACCATGCAAATGATCTCCCCAATAGTGTTTAATTAATCTAATGGATGCAAACAGAGAGGCAAGGATGGCTACACCCCGTCTATAAAAAGGAAAATTGAAATTCACTTGGTAAAATGATTTTCACTTGGCTTCAGTAGTCTGGATATAATTATTGTACTTTTATTATTATATTTAAGTCATTACATCTGTTTCCAAAATGTTCTGGAATGGAAGATTTAACAGGAAGCAAGTTCTGCAACCGAATCCCCTTTCTCTCCAAGCATAGCATCCATGGTGATGAATGAACATAGGGGAAGAAATAAAGGCAGCACAAACTGAAAGGAGAAACCTCTAAATGCTTAGGTGAACCTTGGCTAGCATGAAATGGAGAGACTCCATCTCTTCTGTTTCCTCTGAAAACCATTCTTAAAAAATCCCCAAGTGCATGTTAAGCAATAGTCAAAAGGCCAAATGAATTTTTTTTAAGCTAGGCAAGATGAAATAAATGGTGGAGAGAAATTTGCATTTTTTTGAGGATGTCAAATCTAGGCCAGTCCCTCTGATTTGAAAAGGAACCAAGCAGGGCTATGTTGCTTTGTAAATCTGTGAAAATATGTCTGCTTAAGCAGAAAGGGCCCCTGTAAAGTCTGTGCAAGATAAATTCAGGGTCAAAGAAGTTCTCCATACTCTTTCATTTACTGGCTGAGCGCTAATTTGCCAACTATGAACTTGCATTCTTCTTGCTATTTTCCACTTATGAGGTCATTCATGAATTCATTCAATTAATGTTTGTTGAATGTCAAACAATAGCAGGCATGTAAATGAACAGACATGGTGACCATCAAGTGGCCCCCTGTCTAATGGGATAGCAAATGGATCTTTCAACTCACCCAAAATACCACATTATGGATTTCTAGTGATACCAACACAATCCCAGCAGCTCAGACAGTTGATTCTGACTGCAACACACTCAGGAGTACTTCAGCTTGGCCTTAGGCGGTAACTATTGTCACTTTGGGTCAGCCATGAAGTGGGGGGAGGCATTTTAGGGAAAAGTGAAGAATACCATGAAAATACAGACAACGTGAAATTATATGATAACTTGGGAAAGAATAGTATGGCTGGAGTATGTATTCATGGGAGAAAAGCAGCAAGAGATTAGGATTAAAAAAGGTAAATTGAAACAATGTTATAGTTCTTGACACCAATGACATTGGAGCATACAAGTTATTATGTAATAGCTACAATGAAATGATGTTTTACAGTTAAAAAAACCCCAAAATGTTGCATTATGATTTTATCACTAGGCTCTTTAGGTTGTAACAGAACACCCTCAGTGAAAATGGCTTAAGCAAAAAGAGAATTGATGGGTCTGCATAAATGAAGACGCCAATAGGTTGACTCCAGGCACAGCTTTGAATTCAGCGACCAAACAACATCCCTAGGATCCATCTGTCTGTTAGTTCTAGGTTGGCTTCATTCTCAGGCTCCTGGTAGTATGTCTTACCTCACTCGGCTGCGCTGACCTCAAAGTCACGTTATCAAACACCCACCTGGAAAACCCAATCTCCTGACAGCTTAAAAGACAATGTTGGCATTGAGTTCCTATCTTGGTTACATGCCAAGTCCTGCAGCAAGCACGGCGGTCAAGGTAATGGGGAGGTCACTGGTTGGTTTCTTAACTGAAGAAATGGACTCCA